TTTTTTTTTATCATTACAGCCTAATCAAACAGACTTAAATAACGATGAAAATTACAAGATACATGTAAAAAAAAAATTAATTACACCTTTGTAAAATCGCTAAATATAAAATTTTTCTTTGAATTTCGTTTAGAAACACATGCATATGGTCCACGTATTGCAGTCCTTTTTTAAAGGACAGCAACAACTTGTCTATTTTATAGGCAATTAGTGTCGTTTTTATATGGGTGGTGATGGGTGGGAAGAAGACGAAAAGTCTTTGAGTAAAATAAGTCAACTGGTCAACTTTCGACTAGAATATTTTAAATAAACTAACATAGCAGGATTTGACTATGCTGCATAAAAGGGGGGGGGGGCTTTTCAAACCAAATCAGTAATAAAAATTATTTGCGGGAAAAATGGGAGGAGGATGGTTGGAGTAAATTTCATGAACTGTTGCTATTGCACTCCAAGAATTCTGCTTGAATTGACCCCGTTCTCTAGAAATTAATTTTATATCACTTTTAAAGATATTTTAGCAGAATGCACAGTGGATATATTAGCCCCGTGCTTAAAAGATTTCAATCACCTGTGGTAGTTGATTTAATAATGATTTTCGAAAGTATGAAAATAAATCTAATAAAATCTTGCATTTCAGAGGTTTACAAGTACAGATTTTTTTTTTTATTTTGGATTAACTTTAGTGAAGTGGATATAATTTTTTTATCCTCCTTCATCGGGCACACACCAACAGAGGGGAAGGAGGGGGGGGGGCTGCCCCCCACTTTTTTCCAAACATAACTATTTTCTATTGAAAATGTTTATTGCAAGGCCGGTTGCCCCCCCCCCCATACACTTTTTGTTGCAGTATAGTGAAATAAGGCTAAGTTATAGTGTATGAAAAAAATTGATACTGAAAGAAGTTCGATCCTACCCCCACCCCCCTTCACCCTCCCCCCACCCCCACGAAATACGATAGCATAAAAGAAAAAAAGTGTTACATGTACAAACCAGGCCGAACTTTGCTGTTAATTATAGGGTCTAAAAATTACATGATATATAATGCGGTATTCCTTTAAATTATAAACCATACGACACTATTCATAAGGTGTCAGTCATGTTTCTTTCACTTTTGTTCGAAAATTACCAGAATGATTGTAATTTTTTTTTAGAATTTACCGTAGAAAAGGGGCCCCTGGCCATAGTTTTGGGGCTTTATCCTTTATATTTGACAAACACAATTCAGTAGCCTTGAAATATCCTTCTCAAAACATGAAATGAATAAGTTATGGTGGTTATGTATGTTTACACAAAACCAATAACCAATTCACAGGTACAAAATTTAAACTACGCAATACTTATATCGAAAAATACATATTTACGCATCTCTAAAGTGGGTCCTCTAATGTATAATATATCCATACATGTAAATATATACGGGTCCCTTAATGTATATATATTGCACATGTCCCCTTAATGTATACAAAATGGTTATTAAATATTAGGGGGACACGTAAAAATATATATCTTTCAAAACTTGTTTTTTGCTGATTCTCTTTGTAAAACACTAAGAATTGGCCTTAGTTAAATAGATTTTAGCAATCAAAGCATTAATAAATAAAAGAAGAAAGAATATACAAAATGCCCCCTTAAGGTAGAATAATATTCCTGGTACCCTTTATGTAGAAAGCAGATATATATATATATATATATATATATATATATATATATATATATATATATATATATATATATATATATATATATATATATATATATATAATTTCTGATTTATTTATGTCACCGGGTTCACAGGTGCGTGAAAGTCAGTCAATATATCGGGTCTCAATAGCTCAGTGGTTAGAGCGCTGGCACGGTACGCCAGAGGCCCTGGGTTCGAGTCCCGGTTGAGACTTGATTTTTCACCACCTGTGACACATGTCACAGGGTCATCGTTAAAGAATATAACGCTGGATTCGGATTTATGAAGTTTTAATGAGGATAACAAAGAAATGAAACCTAGAAATATAGAAAACACACTCACAACACACACACATTAACAAGAGACAAATACAACACATTAAACAAAGTTACAAATTACACAACATGAAAATTCACGTCGCTGCCAATAAAGATAAATTACGTATTATCGAAATTGGTTTAATAAGTATTTACATCATTAGAAATAAATCTTACCAGGTATCCAGTATTATAAAATATGAAACATAATTATCACGGCATCGTGAAAGTCGATGACTTCAAAAGTAACATGAAAGTTTGGACGTCTTACACCGTAAAGGTAGAAATCTTATAGTTATTTGATTTGGCGGGATAAGCGCTTATGTAGTGCACGAAGTTAGTATACATGCATATTAATTATCAAATAGTGGTCTGTCATTGGTCCACTGGTCGTATTCGTATACCTGGTCAGTTTGAAAACTAAAAATAGAAATATCACATGACAAAACAAAACATTCACACATGGCACTCATTCACACAGAAGGCGCTATGTTTGATTAGCAATGCGCGCTAATCAAATATAATTTATTAACAAAATATTTAATTAAATATCAACTGTGACATTTATTTAATTTTTTTTTTTTTAAGTAAATGAATAGATCGACAAATCGATTTCACAGTTTAACAAAATTCGGATTAATTCGTTTAAAATTATAATGAAAATGCCCTGAATCTATTACTGATCTTTTTCTAAATCATTTTCATTTTCGCAAAATGAAACTCAATTGTTATTTTTCGGTGCCATTTTACTCATTGATAGCAGTCAAGTTCCTACTTCCGAGCATGTTGGAGCCCGGCCAATGATCGTTGATTGTTTATGAAAATAACATTGTTTATACATGTAATTAAATGAAGAGAGATAAAGGTGCAAAAATAGATTGAAGAATAATTTTCTATCATTATTTTTAATAAGCTAGTGGTGTATATCGTTGTGTGTGTGTGTGTGGGGGGGGGGGGGATTAGGCTTGCGCAACTTACGAATCTTTTTAAAAATGCTATCAAGCTCATATTAACTATGAGTATGCCATTTAACTTTTTAACTCCAACCCCACCCACATCACCTCATCCTCTAATAATCACAACCGGAAATCCTGGAACTGACACTAAGTTAATTCATGCATGTGAACTGTAACTCATTTCATCAGCCTGTTTTTTAAGTAAATAATCAAAAATGTTCAATGCTGGGATTGAAAAAAAAGGTTTATTGTGTCAATTAAAATAATTATTATTTAATAACCATATATGCAAGACAGAAGTCCTTTTGAGTTTTTGTTTGAAAAGATTTTGTGGAATATTGCTTAACATGCAATCTATGGAGATAACTAACTCCTTATAACGAGGTAACTAACTACTTAGATAGCTGAGATAACTACTTCGTTATAACGAGAAAACTAACTTGTTATAACGAGGTAAATACTCGTTATAACGAGATAACTAATCGTTATTACGAGATAATTATGTCGTTATAACGAGTTAATATTTTTTTACCTTGTAAAAATGAGCCTGTCCGGCTCTCGTAATTTTCCAAGTAAACGTATAAGAAGTGTTGCTGTGTTTTTATTCCTGTTATGTGGGTCACGATTATAAGTGAAATACATGTACAGGTGTTCATTTATCCTTGTCTTATTGTCCTACAATCAGCGCAGGACTGATTTTATTCCACAAAAACTTGTTTTAAAAGGTCTTACTCAGGGAAACAATAAGAGTTGTCCCTATATTTCTTTTCAGTTTTATCCATAATTGATAATGTTCGAATTCCCCAGACTCTCAGTAAAGCATAATTCGATGCCTATTGGAATAGTATGATTTTCTTCCACTCGTGTAACTTAATGTCCTTAAACCACCTGAGCCCTCCATCTTATTAATACATAACACAGAAAGAAAAGGTTATGTTGCACTTTGCCACCACTGTGACTTTATTAATTATCCCAAATTTAGATTACATATAATTACGTAGATCACATTAAATGGTTATGTAATAATAACCTTATTAAAAATTGATATACAATTATAAATATTTGATTATCTACCTAATTAATATTTTAATTCAATATTAATCAATAATTCCCATTAATTATCTAATTAATGATGTGATTACATAATTTCCAAAACATCTATTCCTTGTGGTCTGAAACCGCCATGTACTTGATTAAATCCAATTAATCAAGTTCAGACCCCAAGGAGAAAAGAAAAACAGCGCCATAAAAAAGAAATGAAAGTGGCAAAGTGCAGATACACCCAATAAGACCAACCTTTGCAGAGAAAGACATATGCTCTGCAAACCTTAGCCTAATCTCAAAAAATGCAACTACTATTCATGGTAGGTGAGGATACACATATGCCCAACCCAAAACATACATGCTATGTATACTTCACAAGTTTAAAAGAAAATGTCAACTTAACTTTAAAGGTAGAACCTGTATGGTAGGAATAAACATATGTCCCACCTTGATGCAATGTTATCAGGAAATATACATATGTTCCTGATGAATTCGATTTTGTATTAATTACCCAAATGAAATCAAAATATAGTAACCCTAACTATAGGTAAGATAAGTAGGAATAAACATATGTCCCACCTAGTTTCAACGTTATCAGGAAATATACATATGTTCCTGAGCTCACACTGTTGAATGTCCACATACCAATCACCAATGTAACAGGCACTATTAAGTTCTCCATTCGCTTGCTCACTCGATCGAGCCTGTCCAACTAGACATTAACAAATAGCCTATATTGTTCTTAGGAAGGGTTAATTGGCCTAATATAACTTTTGAATGCATCTGATTTCCATCGACCTAAGAGTCTTATTTTGCTGTCGCTCATGCCAAAATCCGCGCAATGAGATGCCATGCCTATCCGGAAAGAATGACTTATTATTCTACTCATGTCCATGTTTGCAAATGAGAGACAGTTTTTAAGTATTGTGGAAAATTTACACCTAGTAACTGGAATATTTGGCACATAGCAAAAGAGTGGCCCCTTTTGTATCCCTCTTAAGCTTAAGTAACTTTTGAGGCATTGAACTGGACAATGGTTTTTGCTACTTGCTGAATGAATTGTAAGAAAAAATGGTTTACTCATGTGATGTTTGTATGTAATAAATTTGATAATAATTTTGTCTTGTTCCATACAAATCTGATTGATGTGAAGTAAATTCTTATTGGTTACTTTCTGGTAAGATGTTATTTCTCCAACCCTTAAAAACCCGTAGAAAGCCAACAAAAACATTGCTTTGAACATGGCCGATTCAAATGCATTAGAAACTGTAAATGGTAAAACGTCGCATATTTGATGTAAAATGTTTTGGTAATAGGTATCCTAACATCTTGTGAAGGTTTCAGTTTGCGGGTTGATAACAGTAATTTTTGTATTAAAAAGGATGAGCATGGATCCACCAAATTGTTAAGCTTATGAATGTAACTAATAGCTGAGAGGCAAGATGTAATGGTCGATGCAGCGTAGTCCCTCGAAAAGAGGTATGCAACATAATATACAAATATATGTTGTTTAACTGGAAGTTCAACCAAAAACCCATATTTCTTTGCAAAGTTTTGAAAAACTGTCCATGCATGGGAGTATGAAGCTGTTGAGGAACTTGTGAGACTGGAATCCAGGAGTCTCTGGATGTCACTTGTTAATTCGGAAATTTTGGAAGTGGAGGCACGTTGACTGGGTATCTGTTGGCCCATGGCGCCAGTTGTAAGAACTGATTTACCTTAGAACGAGAAAGACAATCACATAGTAAATTTTCTTTTGAAGTCAAATGCTTTGCTCTGAAATAAATGTTATATTGTAAGCATGTCAATACTAGTTTTCGCAAAAGAAACATGATATGTTTATCTTTAGACGTTTGCTTATTAATGACATGAACCAATGCTTGATTGTCAGTGTTAAACAAAATGCACTTATTTGTCATAAATTTAGACCAGACTTGTACTGCCAGGACAATGGGATACAATTCTAAGACTGCTATGTTTTGGTACTGCCAACTAGTATTCCATTCTCCTTTAAACCACTGACTACCAAAAACTGCAGCATATCCAATGACACCTGAGGCATCAGTATATAACTTTAATTCACTTGAACTTATCCATTTATCAGGGAGAAACATTGAAGAACCATTGAAATGGCAAAGAAAATCCAACCAAACATTCATATCCTCCTTAACTTCTTTTGTCATCCTAATTCTGTAAAAGTGCTTTTTGATTCCAATGGTCAAATCGATGAGTCTTCTTAAAAAGGCTCTGCCTGGCAATACCACATTACAAGCAAAATTCAGTAAACCTATAATTGACTGCAGTTCTTTTAATGTTAACTTAGTTTGTTCCAAAGCAAATTGAATTTTCTTGACACACTTGAAAATTTTGTCCTTTGGAAGTCTACATTCCATTTTAATTGAATCCAATTCATAACCCAGATAGGTTATCACCTGTTTGGGACCACATGTTTTTTTCAAGTGAAATAGGCACCCCAATATCTGTACACATAGCCAAAAAAGTTTTGAGCTTGTAAACACATTGTGTCGGCGATTTGTCCACAATAATAAAGTCATCCAACACATGTGTAATGCAAGATATACCCAATTTATTTTGTGCAATCCATTGCAAAGCTGTTGAGAATCGTTCGAATATTTTACAAGATGAACTTAGACCAAACTGCAGACAGGTATCAAAATAGTATTTGCTTTCCCATTTAAACCCGACAAACTTAAACTGTGTATGGTGTAGATTAATTATTCTAAATGCCGACTTAATGTCTGTTTTACAACAGAATGCACTTTCCCCACACTGTTTTATAAAATGAATCGCATCTAAAATTGATGAGTATTGAACAAATGACTCATCCGGTGGTATGCCATCATTGACAGATTGGTTTTCTGGGTATGATAAATGATGAATCATTCTATATTCACCCGGCTCTTTCTTTTCAACTAAACCTAATGGTGAACATTGTAAATTAGGAATTGGCTTACTTTCAAAAGGGCCCTGGATTCTACCAGCCAAAATTTCTTTTTGTATTTTTTGACCAATAATTTCAGGTTTTGCAAGAGCAGAATTCAAATTCTTAGACTCTATTCCCGGACATTCTCCTTCGAATCCTAAACAGAACCCATTTGAAAAACCATCAATTAAATATTTAGTTTCATATTCATCATAACCAGATAACCAGTGAGCAAGTCTATTTACTTTGATTGGAGTTGGGCCCTTGCTTGGCAGTAGAGTTTGTTTTTGTTTGGGTAGACTGTTTATTTGTGTTGCCTGTTTGGTTTTGATATTTTTGCATGACACGAAAGGGGTGCTTAGTTGGTTTTGTACAGTGAATAAATGGGTGAACCCCTGCACAGTTATAGCATCTATGCTGAAAACTACAGGACATTCCTGCCTGACAGTGTTTACCTGAATAATATTGGAAGCAGGGACCCTTGGGAATTGATCTATACTGTAGGTCTTTACTACCTTTGCTTGGTTTCATTGTCTGGGTTGTTGTCAGTCTGGCATTGACATACAACTCCATGTGGACACCCCCCCAGGCAACTTGTCCCTGAGCCACGAGCATTCTAAAGTCTATATCATACCCTTTCCAATTGCCCTTTGCATCTGCTATCTCCCTGACTGCTTCTAAATGCTTTGCTAGTTTTGCCTGTTGATCAGTGTATTTCATGCAATAAATTGCAGAAAATTTGTTCCATGCAGTAAGCCAGTCATGCATGGAGGAGACAGATGCGTCATTTGACGAATCATTCTCCACCTGGTGGATAAGTCAACTTACCAGGACTGTCGCCATCCTCAACTTGTAAAGAAAACTTACCTTTCATCTGCTTATCTTTTGAAAGAAGTTTTATGAAGTCAACATACTGGTTTGACCATATTTTGGACTTGAGTTGGTCCGACACCCTAGCATGTATTGGGACTGCTGTACTAACAAAACCACTGGGACTCTTACCTGCTATTTTTTCAGTATGGTTAATTACCAAGGCTTCAACAGATTGTTGAATAGCTTGGTCATTGGGTGTACTTGGGGCAGTCGATTCTGACCCACAAATAACAGAATTAGTTAAGCTTGGATCATTATTGACAGAAGCCACCGAAGTATCATTACTAATACTCCCCTGACTAGTGGCTGTGGTGCTGCTGGTCGCATTACTTATTAGCGTTGTCAACTCCTCTCTGATTGTAGCAGTGACCCGCTCAGTTACTTGTCTGGTAAAGGTTTCCAGGACATCAGGGGATAGGGGCGTAGCTGTCGCGACCGCTTCCATATTTGTTGATACCCGTCGTCTCTTGTTTTGTTGAGAGGCAGGAGTTGGCACTGTCCGAGATTTGCGAGATATTCTCTTTGGTGGCATGATTATATTTGTTGAATAGGTAACTGAAAGTTCAATAAACTGCATTTGGTTAGTGTACATATTCCTAGAAATTGTTCTCTTCTATTGATCACTGTATCGTTTTCTGATAAGTTTTGAAAAATTGTGGGTTCCTCAATTTTGCGGATTCACAACACCTGTGTGTTAACTGGAAACGTTTATTCAACGACACAAAACATAAGTCGTACATCATTCAGATCATTCGTACATATACACATTCGTATAATATCATTACATCTCCCTTCTTTTGAGTAAAACAAGTATGCGAATAAAAAAATGCAAAAAATCTGAGAAGATATTTCTTTGAGTGAACAGAACCATTTTCTCATTTAAACAGATACAATAACTTTGGGTTTCACAACTCTACCATAACGAGTAATATAAGGGGTGGGGTTACAGGTAACAGGGAATTCATGTTTAGCCTCAGTAGCTGGCTCGGAGATCGGTTGAACAGAATGGGGACTAGCTGGACTAGGGGGCGAAGTAGAAGGTTCTGTGAGACTGACGATATTGGAGTCTGATGTATCAGGCTCAAATTTTTCTTATGAGTGGATCAGGTGTCTGTATATGACCTGTATATGATCTGTCTCCCTCTTCTTTGGTGACTATTCCTTGCTTCCATAGTTTCCCTTCTTGGTACCCTATACTGTCTCCTACTGAAAGGGGTGGTAGAGGCTTAGCACTACGATCGAAGTATTCTTTCTGGCTCTCTTTCTCTGCTTCCATCAATTCCCTAACCCTGACTGGCACCTTTGGTTTTAGTTCATCCGAAACTACTGGAAGTATAGACCTCAACTTCCTGCACATTAATAGCTGGGCGGGTGAGTAGCCAAAGTTCAAAGGTGTTGTCCTGTATTCTAGTAGTCCTAGATTATAATCTTTCCCAACTGTCTTGCTCTTATCCAAGATTCTTTTGGCAATCTGTACTGTCTTCTCCGCAAATCCATTGGACTGTGGATACGTTGGACTGGAAGTGACATGGTTAAATTCATACTCCTGAGCAAATATGGAGAAATCCTGGCTTGCGTATTGTGGACCATTATCCGATACAACTTTTCGTGGAATACCAAGACTACAAAACATCTTCTTCATTTTTTCTATAACAGCTTGACTGGTTGTCTTGTGTAGTTTCTCTATTTCAAAGTATCTGCTGTAATAATCAACCACTAACAGGTACTCCTGGTTGTTCCATGTGAACAAATCTGTAGCTATGGCATCCCATGGGTAGTCTGGAATATCATGGCTGATCAGTGGCTCCTTTCGGTTTGAGTTCCTCCTCTCTAAGCAAACTCCACATTCCAGAACCATGTTCGTAATGTCTGCCTGCCGACATCCTGGGCCAAAATGTAATGTCTCTAGCTCTCCTCAAGCATTTTTCCACACCCATGTGGCCGATATGTACAGCTTCCATCATCTGGCGTCTTAAGTCTCTTGGTATGATTATCTTGTGTCCCTTAAATATGATGCCATCTATCTCTATCAAATCATCCCTATGGTTCCAATATTCTAGTGCTTGGGATGGGCATTTTTTGCGTTTTTCAGGCCAACCATCATGTATTATGTTTATAAGTATCTTCATCTGTGGATCAGCTTGGGTTGCTAATCTGACTTCCTCTAATCTTCTATCATTCATCCGAGTACTGGACATCACTGTATGTACATGAAGATCCATGCCTGCTGTTAGCTGTGGGTAAGTATCTGGCAGAAGCTTGCGTGAAAGGGTATCCGCAATTGGTATGTCTTTGCCTGGGATGTGTGTCAACTTCTGATCATATGCCTGCAGTTGCAAAAGCATCCTTTGTAACCTTGCTGGGGCCTGTGCGAGTGGCTTTGTGTGAATGGCAACTAGGGGTTTATGGTCTGTATGGACCTGGACTTCCCTACCATACAGGTACTGGTGAAATTTCTTGCAGCCAAATAGGATGGACAACATCTCTTTCTCTATCTGGGCGTACTTGATTTCTGCTGGCGTAAGTGACTTCGAAGCAAATGCAACTGGTTTGCCATTCTGCAAAAGTGTAGCTCCGAGTCCAAACTGCGATGCATCAGTCTCTAATACTACTGGTTTTCCTGGGTCAAAGTATGTAAGCAGAGGTCCTGGTGTTCTAGTTATTAGGTCCTTGACCTTCTGGAATGCCTGGGCCTGTGGTGCATCCCATACAAATTCAGTGTCTTTCAGCAGCAACTGACGTAACGGACTGGTGATGTTAGCAAGATTTGGTGCAAACTTTGAGAGGTAAGTGATCATACCCATGATAGTCTGAAGCTCTGACTTGTTGGAGGGGGGCTCCATATCCCTGATGGCAGCTACCTTAGAGGGGTCCGGCTTCAATCCATCTGCTGAGAGGATGTGGCCAAAATACTCAACTTCCTGAACTCCAACTTGTAATTTCTCCTTGTTCATCTTGATGCCCACACTCCTGCATCTATCTAACACCTTGATTAAGTTGTCATTGTGCTCTTGTGGTGTCCTGCCATAAACCAATATGTCATCAACGATGGCAGCAACTCCTGGCATTCCTTCGAAGCATTCGTCTATCTTCTGCTGGAAGATGTCTTGCGAGTTCTTCAAGCCAAATGGTAAACGCAGGTAGCGGTATCTCCCAAATGGAGTATTGAATGTAGTGAGCAGAGATGATCCACGTGAAAGTCTAACAGTCCAGAAACCAGAGCTGGCATCTAGCTTAGAAAAGTACTTAGCTCCTGAGACTTCAGGAAGGATATCGTCTAATGTCCTCATAGGATAATGTGGCCTCATAATAGCTTTGTTAAGTTCCATAGGATCCAAACATACTCTAAGTTTTCCCGATGCTGGCTTAGTAGTAACGACTAATGAGTTTACCCATTCCGTTGGTTCCATTACCTTGGTGATGATCTGTGCTGACTCCATTCTGTCTAACTCTACTTTTAGCTTGTCGCGTTGGGCTACAGGCACTTTGCGTGGGGTGTTGACAACAGGCCTAACATTGGGATCAACCTAAAAAGTGCATTCTCCTGAAAAGAGACCTATACCGTGGAATACATCTGAGTACTGACTAAGTACATGACTCTTACTGAAGGGCATAACCTTATCAATAGAGTATGTGAGGTGAACTATGCCTAAATCTAAGCATGCTCGTAATCCTAGAATTGGATGCGAGTGTGTCTGTACGACCTGATACTCAATGCTATAGTCTTTACCCTTAAGGTTGCTTTGAATAACAGAATAGCCTATGGGGTGTACAGAGTGACCATTATAAGCAAAAAGCTTGATCTTAGATTTGCTTAATGTGTGATAGGGGGCTAAATCACTGTACAAAGAATCGGGCAGAATATTGACCTGAGACCCTGTATCTACTTTGAACTTAACTTCTTTGTGTTTTGGGCCTAGCTTAATGTTAATAAATGCTTGATCATGCTCAACATTGCTATCAACATTGTCAATATTAAAGTCTGAATCTGACTCATGAACATCATTGTCAAATACACTATCATAATTAATGTTAACAGATCTCTGTGAAGAATCACTAGTGCAATTAACATTGTTCATTTCACTGGACTTCTGTGGACAGTCACTAGAATTTGCATGGTTAATGTCATTTACTGATCGCGAACGACAAACACTGGCGAAGTGGTTCCACTTGTGACAGTTGTTGCACCTCTGACCTTGCGCCGGACAAGTATCTTGAGATCCATGTCGCTTTCCGCACTTGCCGCATGGCTTCGTCTTCGTTGTTGTAGACGGAAACTTTGTCGGGGTGGCAGAAGTCTTTGTCGGATTGGGTCGAGTCTTTGTCTGGAGGGGTGGTCTCCTTCCGCTCCTCTCTGTAGATGAGTGTGCATTGTGTGTAGACTTGGACACTGCTTGCACGTGTGCTGACTGCTGTCCCATGAGTTTAAGCTGTTCCTGAGAGTACTCATATGCCTGAGCTATCTGTACAGCTTTATCGAGTGTTAGTTCCTCGCCAACATTAATCAGCTTTTCCCGAATTTTTTCTGATTGAATACCGAACACAACTCTGTCTCTAATCATTTCATCAATGTCTTTAAAATTACAGTTTCTGGCCAAAAGTTTCAATTTCGTTACAAACTGATCAAACGTGTTTGGTCCCTGTACTTCATTGTTAAACTTGTATCTGGCGAAGATTGGGTTTAACTTGGGTTGAACGTACCTGAGAAATCTATCGAAGTGTGGTTGCAGTTTTTTCAAATCATCGTTCGAAAATGCTGGAAATGTATTATAAATATCACGACCCTTCTCACCAATCCACAATAGAAGGTATGAGACTTGTTCTTCTTCATCCTTTTCTTTCAATGGGCCTGCGAAAATCAGTTTCACATGTTGTTCAAACTTTTTCCAGGCTTCGGGCAAATTCGAACTAGACCAGTCCATGGTCGGTGGGGGAATGCCGCATAATTCCATGATAGCCGTGTCTTACTTGTGAAGGTGGACTTATCCGCCACTTCTGACACCATGTATCGTTTTCTGATAAGTTTTGATAAATTGTGGGTTCCTCAATTATGCGGATTCACAACACGTGTGTGTTAACTGGAAACGTTTATTCAACGACACAAAACATAAGTAAGTCGTACATCATTCAGATCATTCGTACATATACACATTCGTATAATATCATTACAATCACTATAAATAGAATGCATAGTATATCAACATCCGGTAGCTATAAACAGAAAAATGGAAAAATATCAACCGTTGAAATTCCGGAATACTGATCTGTAACTCAATACTGTACACTGAATTGATTACGAACCTCCGATGGCATAACAGAGAGATTCACAGGAACAAGCCCGTAATTTATTTGATTAGTTGCAGTAAAATGATCCTCAGCGAACCATAAGCGAGGATTTTTTTTTTAATCCTTTTTTTTTTTTTTAAATTTAATTTTATTTACTTATTATATTCTGTATATTTGGTAAAATGCGTTAATGCAAATAGAGTAGGATAAGCCTCGGGGAGGCATACAAAATAAATGACATCTCAG